GCACCAACATGCCTACTGTCCCTGTCCTACTGTTTTTTTTCTTATATGTATCCATTTCATGTATTCATAACTATGTTTATACTTATACCTGTTATCTTATAATCACTTGACAAATAAATAAAATAAAATAAATAAATAAACTATCTATAACTTCCATGTCTTTGTTGTCCAGTTAGGTTGATAGCTGTACTTGTTACCATTACTTTGGTGGTCTTTATATTTAATCTTGGTTCTACTTTTTTCACTTTGTTCCTTGACTTTCATTTCTAGAAAGTATGAACAAATCATTTGGATTTTCAGTTGACATAGTATCATCAGCATAGAATTATTGATGTTTCTTCTATTTTTTTTACAGCCACAGTTATTTTCTTATAATTCATCTTGCTTTCATATATATATTCATCTATAGGCTTGTATGCTTTCAAATTAGTCTTTTCTCTTAACAACTGTGAAGACAAGTCCCTGTAGTTTTCATGGCAATATTTTTAGAAGTGGTTTCCCATTGTCTTCTTCCTAGGTTGACTTAACGCCTATAGTAGAACTAGAACTCACAGTCTCCTGAATTTTAGCCCAATGCCTTTAACCAATACATCATATTCTATATATAAATTGAATAAATAAGGAGAGAATATTGCCTTTTCTGTCTTGTCAGCCTACCAGTCTGTTTCATACAGTCTTTGGCTTCTTGTTGCTATAGATTTTACTTGAAGACAATGAGGTGTTGTGGGATTCTTATTTTCCTAAGGACATCCCACAGCTTGGCATTCTCATAATAGTGCTGGAGAATTACAGGAATCAGTTCCATTTTTAACAATATAATTTGCAAGCAAATCCCTCGGTTTTTTGGCTTATATATGTAAACCCACATACTGTTGTTCATGTGAAATTTTATAAAGGTTGATTATATTACATAGATTTTGAGCATATTTTTAGCTGGGAATTTTTTTTATTTGAATTTATAATAATAGAGTAGAGCAATTTCCACACAGGATGGTAGATGGTAGTGCAGTGATGGTGAACCTTTTTGTTGTGGTGTGCTGAAAGCACACGCGCATGCACCGGTGCCCACAATGCAAATATCCCCCCTTGCACATACACTTGCAACATCCCTGCCCCCTTACCTGCACTGCGCATACCTCCCAGCTGATTTCTGGCCCATTTGAGGCCATTTTTGCCCTCCCGAGGCTCAAGGGAAGCCTCTGCAGCTTCGGGAGGCCGAAAAATGGGCCTTCTGGACATACCAGAAGTGCCCATTTTCAGCCTCTGGAGGGCCTCTGGAGCTTGGTGGAGGCTGTTTTCACCCTCCAGTAGACTTAAGGGAAGCCTCTGGAAGCTCGGAGTCTGAAAACAGGCACTTCTGGTATTTCTGGAAGGCCCATTTTTCGGCCTCCTGAGGCTGCAGAGGCTTCCCTCGGGCCTCGGGAGGGTGAAAACGGCCTCAAACGGGCCAAAAATCAGCTGGGAGGTGCATTCATGTACAGTGCAGGTAAGTTTGGCTGGGGCTCGCATGCCCACACAAATGGCTTTGCATGCCACCTGTGGCACATGTGCCATAGGTTCGCCATCACGGTGGGAGTGTTTCTCAACCACAGCAACTTTCAGATGTTCAACTCTTAAAATCTAGGCTTCCAGAATTCTGGGAGGCTGATTAATTCTGGAATGATGTGGAGTCCTCCACATCTTAATGTTGCTGAGATGGAGAAGCACTGGTCTAGATTCTAGCATTCTTTGGTACTACTCCCTATTTTTCACATTCAGAAGTCTGATTATGTACACAAACCATGTATTTAAGGGATGTGTGTGTCTGGTGATAGATTGAGAAGAAGAAATCTTCCATCTAGGGAAGGACTATGCTTTGTGTATGAACATATGTGTGCTAAATGTTTATGGGGTACATGATCATGCAGTGTGAGATATTATTAATATGCAGTGTGCATATTATTAAAACAGACAGAACTGGATTTTGTATTGTTTTTCTTCCTGATGTTGTCAAAGGGGGTTACAATTCTATTTGGAAGTTTCAGCAACCATTTTAAATGACAGAAAAGTCCTAGCATTCATACATTGCTGCTAAATATTAGCCTGAGAGCTTATCTTTCATTAAATGGTTGTGTTGCATCTTCACCTATTTAAAAAACAATGCAAAATTCAGTAACTAGTGTGTCACAAAATGCTCATTTATTTCTTCTTACTCTTCCTTTAGAATGGTCTGCAGAGTTTAATCACTGAATTGGTAGGTCAATATGTTTAAATTATTTGAAGAATGAAAAAGGTTTGATTTGCTTCTTTTATTTTGTTCTAGTGAAAATACATTGGTATTTATAGGTTTGTTTGTTTTTTAAAAAATCTTGTCTCAAGCAGCTGTTTGGAACAGTTTGTGTTTCTAAAATCATTAGGTAGCTTTGAATGTGACAGCTGATTATTTCAGAGCAAATGAGCAACTAATGATGTCTCCTGTGCATTTTATAAATAAACCCTATTGTGTTCTGTGAGGTTAGTTCTGTAGTATGGGTTTAGGATTTATTGCCCTTATGAATGTATTTTCTATTGTGTGAGTCAACTAACAACTCTGTTACAGGGTTGCCTATAAATAGGAATAAGCATTAAGAGCAGTAGCATAGCAAACAATTGATAACAATTATTCAGTAAAATCAATAATTTCACTGGTCAATAGTTCTCATGAAAGTCAAATCTTGTCGCTCTTTAGAGATTAATGTTATATTTGCCTCCTTCCTGCTGTCGGAAATCTTTCCATTCTATAAAACAATATTCATTGTTTGTTGTAAGGGATGTAAAAACTCATCTTCAAAACATTGGTATTAAGAAGCTGGCTGGCTCCCTAGACCAGGTACATTTCCTGTTTCCTCGTACCTTTTTGATACTCTTCTATGTGTACTATTGCTATATTCTGTTTATGTGCACATGTGAGCATAAACTGAACTTTCTGCTGTTTTTCCAGCAAAAACAGACTAATCCATTTGATGAATTTGGGTAAATTGAGATTTATTTATAAAAAAATTGCCAGATTGGCAAGTTCGCAGGAACCACATCATGTTTCTTGTGGGGGGGAGGCTCAAGAATGTCATTTCTTCTTTTTTACTCTTTTAAACAAACACATCTGATTCATTTTTCCTAGATTAGTGGGTGGGTTAGAGAACTTGTCAGATTTTGCTGCTCAAAATCCTCCAACACTTGTGCATATTTTTAAAGAAAATATTTATTTTACTACTTATTTATTAATCTAATACTATATGGCCATCTAAGTGGACAGTACAAGAAACTCTGGGTGGTGAACAAAGTAAAAACAAAGCCTTCCACTAAACTAAGAAAGACCAGATAAAACCACACTGAAGCTCAGCAAAATCACAAAATCATTAATCACATATACCCATAGCAGAGCTCACATAACTTACATTGGATGAGCCAGGTCTTCATAGCTTTTGCAAAGGCCAATAGAATTGTGGTTGGCTACTGTATATTTCAGGGACAAGGCTTGATGGATAATATGGATATTTAAGTAAATATAATTTTGAACATGTTTAAATTAAAATATGGAATATAATAGATTTAATAATGAGTGTGTGTAGATTACATGGAGTGAAATTAGGACAACCTATGTTTTTAGTTTCATGCACATGTTCCTCTCTACAACTGAAAATGTTCACAAAAGTTAATACACAAAAGTTAATATCTTATGTCTCACTACAACTGACGTTTGAAACGTACTTTTACTTTTATTTATTAGATTTACATCTTATCTTTTATACATGATGCTCAAGGACATGTGCATAGCAGGATCTTCTGATTTTTCCTCAAGAGCCTTATGAGGGAGGTTGTGTTGAGGACCAAGTCATCTAAAACCACATTTGGGGGGGGGGCAGCTGCACATTAAAAAAAATGGAGTTGGGAGCTTGCATTGTACTGTTGCAGTCACCATTTCAACTTTTTTGAGCTTTTTGGCTAAGGTTGGATTAGAACCTGGGTCTGCCTTCTTCCAACCCAAGACCTAAACCACTATACCACATGCTTCTCATTTATGTAGTTCAGTTTATGAGCTTTGGTGTCAAAGATCTCCTCTTTATTTATTTAAGCACGCATATTTTTAAATGTTGTTTTTGATAAGATGGTCAAGGACAATGAAGTTAGATATAACATATCTCAATTTAAACAGTTCCAGTTCCTGGCAGAATTCTATTTCAGTGCAGAAAAAGCATCCTTTGGTAGGTTGTTGCTACCACACAACCTCCCACTTCTAATCATACTCTTAAGAGCTTGGTAAGCTCAGAAAAGAGCTGACCAGTAGAAGAGCTGGCCCCTATAAGTACAGCAATAGTTTATGATAATTATACTCAATCTCTTTCTTTTCTTCCCCCACATTTCACTGTCAGGCAGAACTTTTTGGAATGTTTGTCTGTAAATAAGCTTGATGTTTCATCCAATAAATCCCAGATAAACAGCAGGTTATAGGTTAAATGCTATTTTACATTTAAGAACTTATCTTTATAATGAAAAATTAAGTTTTAGTACCCTGTGGCAGCAATTTAATTAAGCTATGAAAAGGCAATGCTATTTGCTGAGCACTTAACTACAGCAGAGCAAACTATGGAATAGATTGTACAAGCAGCTGATATAATCCTCCAATCTACTTCTATGTGACCATGATGCATGCAAGAGATATAACTGAAGCAAAGGACCTCCCCACAGATGATCGAGGCAGCCTGTAGGTCTCTGTAGTTAGTACTTAACTCTCTGAAATTGTTGCTCTTAAAGTAGCAGTTACTGTACCAAAATGGCCTATCCAAACCCAAGATGGTGTCACCTAAATCATATTGTCCTGATGGTGTTGATGCTTATCAAATAAGAAGCCAGAGTAAAGCATTTGAAGAGGTGCTTTATTCACATATGATGTCTTGATAATATTTTCTACCCATCAGATTGTGATGTGTCACAGATGGTGGTGACTCTAACCTTAACCCATTAACCTTTTTCTTTTCCTCCAGGGCGAACTCTGCTAGAAAAGCTCTCCAGTCAACAGGAGAATGCACCCCAAGAAGAAGCAGAGAAGCTTTGTTCTTGGATCATTGCAATGGGTCTTTTGCTTCCCTTCAGTGACTGCTTCAGAGAGCCAAGTAGTCAGAATGCACAACAAAATGCTCCAGCATTTGATGTAAGCCATAGCTTAAACACTTGTTTCTATTTAACAGAGATTCTTGTGATAGTTTGCTCTTTTATGTTTGCATCCCATTCTTAAGATGCTTACTTTGGGTTGTCATTTAAATGTCCATAAGATATGATGTCCTTTACATTTTTTTTTATTTTGTACTATCTTTTTAACCCATGTAGGCTTTTTCAGCACAGGTCGCTCTTGACTTGCAATTGTAATCAAGCCTGGAATTACAGTTCTAAGTTGTTGTTATCATAAGTCATGGCATCATGTGATCGGACCTGTTTTTTTTTTAATTGCAGCAGTCTTTAAGCAAATGTCATGAAGCAAATGCTATGGTTGTTAAGCAAATTCATTTTTCCTAATAGGTGTTTTTTTGCTAGAAGCAAACACCAGAAACTGGCAAAAAAAAAAAATGTTACAGTCCATAGTCACATAACTACAGGATGGAGCAGTCATAAAGGTGACTCAGTTGCCAAGTGGCTCAAAATGCAATTACTTGACTATGGGTTTGTATGTGTGTGTCTGTGCAGCTATTGAACTTTAAAAATAGATCCTAAGTAGCTCTGGGGAGGTCTGTTCTATCTTCAAATGGTTGCTAAGTGACTAGTCCTACATTGAGGATTACCTATATATTAATACATACTAACGTATATTATCAATTGATTAAATAGAAATGCCATCAAACAGGTGTCAATTTTTACCAGTCACAAAGATAGGTTTTCTCCAGAAGGATCTGCTCTCAAACTGTTCTTCATATCTTCTAATATAATGTGCCCATCACCACTAAGCATTTGGATCTGTCAGCCTTGTTATTGATTGTTGTCTTCTCTTTTCTTCCAGTTTTCCCACCATTCTAGATTTTTCCATGAAGTTCGGTCTTTGTATAATGCATCTGAAGTCAGATAATTTGAGCCTAGTCATTTGTTTCTCAAATGAGAACAAAATTATCCATTTCCTTCAGTGATCCATTTGTTTGTATTCCTGGTTATTCTTGGAAATTTTCTCCAAAAACATTCAAAAGCTTGAATGCTGTTTCTTTTAAAAAAAAAAAAAAACAAGTTTTATTAATTTTCAAAACACACAAATCATCATTATCCATTACATGTTTAAACCTTTTTCCATTATAAATTTAACAAGTCAGATAAACTATAATTCTGTTTTAAACCATTTCCATATAAACATACAAAAACCTCTTATCCAATTTCTCTTTATTTCTCTTTACTCTTATTCAATTTTATTATTATTATTTCATCTATTTCTTTCTGACTTAGTTACCATTATTCTCATTCTATATTTCTGCAAGGTTTTATTAATTCTCCCCCCCAAAAAAAACATATACACACAACACACAAAACATAAAAAAAATCTTTTTGGAAAGTAACTTGGACCCAGGTATCTCTCTCTTCATGGACTTCAATTATATTCATGCTCATCTTACATATCATTACTTATTTTATTTACCATTCTAAGTCTTCTATATTAACTTCTCCACATATTTCACTCTTCTTAATTCTATCTTAATTAATCATCTTAATTTGAGTCATTATATTTGTATCTTTTGTCCCTTCTTTATTGTCTCTTTGTCTCGTTCCTTATAAAAAAAAAGAAGTTTCTCCTGAAATCACTAATCAGAGTATGATGCCTTTCTATCTCCCCACTAAATTAATCAAATTAACTTTTAAAATAACACCCAATACCCAATCCGATTTTGCTTGGTACATTCTATCTGAATAGTACATCCAGAATAATTAAATACATAGTTAAACAATAGATCTAAATATTAAAAACAAATACTATAATAGAAATTTTATAATAACATCAATACCATAATCTTATTAAACTCTTTAATTAAAACTCAACCTCCCCTCATATTATTAAATTTTAAAACCAATCATTATTAAACATTTCAACATTTTAATCTCTTATCAACTCTTAAACCATTTAAGTTTTCTATTTCTAATACAATACTACAATATCATCTTATGTACCTTGCAAAATCTCTTTGAAGAAATTATACTTTATCCTTTATCCCTAAAAAAGATTCCTTTTTTCCCATTTAATTTCAAAACTTTGTAGCTTTTCTCCACCCTTTCCCTTTCTTTCTTCTCCCAACAAACCTTTCTACCCCCCCTTCTTCTAGCCTCTGCCTTACTGGCTTCCCTTCTCTGTCGTATTCCTTTTCCCTTTTGTTTACTATCATTATATTGATTTTGCACCTTATTTTTCCCTTTCTTAAGTGTTTTTTTAAATCCTAAGTCCTTTATTTCTCTTCCTTTCCCTCTTCCTTCGTTCTTGGTCAAGTTCTGAAATTTATTAAAAATGGCTTCCTCTCCTTCTTCTTCTTCTGCTGTCTTCATCTGTTGTAATGTTTGTTGATAGTTAATAAGCGCCATTTCTAAAAAAAGGAAGGCTTCTTTCAAACCAGCTTTACCATTTTTTTTTGCTTGTTCATAATCTTTTCTCAGTTCCTCAATAGAAAGAGCCATTATAAATCTTTTCTTTTCTTTTCCCCTTCTTTCTTCTTACAACAACCAGAATATTCCAAAGAAAAAATAAAACAGTCCCAAAGTTATCAATCAGTCCAAACCAAGGCAGAGTTCTCACTTTCTCCTCCTGGGGTAGTATCAATCAGAGAAAAAGAAAGTCCAAATCTGTTTCTTAAAATCTTATTGCAATATATTTTAGTCTTCAAATCCTTAAGGCATCTCCTCCAACAAAGTCTTAGCATACAAATATTTTTTTTTTAGTCCTCTCTCTTCCCACTCATCGCTTAAAGCCAGTTTTCACCTAAAAAAAATAGGTTTCTTAATATTCACTTATTTATTCCGTAGGAAAAGAGGGTAAGCTTTCCTTTCAGCACCATCAAACTGCCGCATTTTTCCTCTTCTAGAAGGTATCATTCAGAAAGTCATACTTTTCAGGAATTTTGTTAAATATGTCTTAGAGTCCTAGGAACCAAGAAAAACTTTCTCCTTTCGAAAACTTTCTCCACTTCCTCCTGCGCATTCTTACCCGGCTGCCAGCTTCTTTGTGGCGGCCATTACGGACCGCCGCTGCACCTTCTTGGGAAAAGGGGGTTCTGCCGGCTGGGGAGGGGGTCTGCAACACCCCCAAACCCCTCTCCGGATCCCCCCTACCTTCAGCTGCCCCTGCAGGGCAGCCTAGCTCCGTACCCGTCCGGATCGGAGCCCCAAAAGCAGCTAGCGCAGCAGGGATCGCGCAGCTTCGCGAATCCCTGCCGCTCGTGAAGCCGACAAACCGGAAGTCCCAAAAGCTTGAATGCTGTTTCTATCCTGCTTCTTCAGAGTCCAATTTCCATTTCTATAGAGTATCATAAGGAAAACCATTGCCTGCACAATTCTAATCTTTGAAGGGATAGATATATAATTTGTATCTTCTAATAAGTTTCTGAACTTGTTTAAGTTCTTTCCTAACATCTTTATCTTTCTTGGCTTGGGCTTCTCCTCTTGGCAATTTCTACAGTTTGTTCTAACATCCAATTTGCTTTCTTATTTTCTGGCAGTCTCTTTTTATATTCATGAAATTTCTTTAAGTTCATCCTACAGTTTTTCTGTTCACCATTATTAACATGTAGGACTTCAAGTGATGTCTTATGTTTTCCTTGAAAATGACAGTATATGCTCCAGACCATATTGTGGAAACTGGTTGGCTTTCTTCTGCTTTAATTTTACTTGGAGTTTGCACATGAGCAATTTATAATCTGTTCCATAGTCAGCCCCTGGCCATCTCTTAGCTGTTATAATTGAGCTCTTCCGCTTCCTTCTATCAACAGTATAGTCAATCTGATTGCTGTGGATGGACTCTGTCTGGTGATGTCCATGTATAAAAATAATAGTTTTGGTTGTTTGAAAACTCTGTAAGCAAGATATTGGCAGATATCAATAAATTGTTCTTATACTTTATTTCATGATCCTAGGCCATGCAGTCAATTATACTTAGTAAATTACTTAATAACTCAATATATTAATTAAATGAAACCAATAAAAATAATTATAAAAGAAACATTTCCTGCCTACAGGAAACATATTTGCCCAAACATTATGCAGAATCTTAGAATATACTTAGAAAAGATGCTTTTTTCAAGTAAAATATAAAATGCTTTCTTTTGGGCATTTAGTCAGAGGATGACTGGAATATTTGTCTTTAGGCCTTGGCAAAAATTGGCAAAAGGTAGTATTTTAAAAGAAAAGAAATGAGTGGCCATAGGAAACCATGGAAGTACATAGAAAAATGCAGTAACCCATTTTAAGTCCCTTCAGTTAGTATTTTCCTATTCTAGGCCTATATGTCAACAGACGGATGAGTTTCACTCAAAATGCAAATTTCAAGAAAAATAGAATTTGCAGCAAAAAAACAAAACAAAATCCCAAACAATACTTCAAGCAACAGCCTAAACTGTTATTTATTTTTAATTCCAGCTTCATATTCTGCCCTAAGGTCCTGAATGAAAGACAACATAGAATACTAGCAAGCAAAAAAAGAACTTTATAGGACAAACCCCAAAAAAACAAAATAATTTATCCACACATCCTTAGCTCAGTAGGAAAACAAAGGATGTCTTGACACTTTCAGTAGACAAAACAGAAAGAAAAAAAAATGGCAATTGAAATTAAGACATATTTATAGAAAATACCCTATGAGCAGCAGTGTGTATGTACACACCAAAACCTCAGTATAGTAATCGATCTTACGTAAAGTTTTGGAAGTTCCATCCCAATAGATACATGAATTCAAGCTCAAAAAGCCACCCATAGCCGGCACAGACAAGTCCTTTTAAGGTATTACATTTGGCAGCAGGTGTCTATGGGCATATTTTTATGTCTAGTTCACGTCAAAATTATACAATGTGCTGCAAAATGAAGACACGTTTATTTTTGAAAGACTCTCTGAATCTCAGCATCCATGCGGTGGGCTCATATTCTGCATTCCTGCCTGGGAGATATGTGTAAGCCTTCCAGAATGAGCAAGATTTCAGATGC